GAACACTGTGGTGTGTTAGCCTGCCAGTGGAGTGGCAGTAAAAGGATTTACCCGGGACCGACGGTTGGAGACGATCATCCACTGGGGTATTGAGGACAGGAGGGTGATTTGTGATATCACACGAGACTCCTGTCTAGGGCGTACCCCTTATATCGTTCGTGGAGTGGCCGTACCAGCCTTGGTGGCTCAGTACCTGCCAACAGACCAGCTGGACGTGTGGTTGACGGCCTCCACGACGGTGCCCCCAGTGGACCTGTGTTTTGGCTGACCTGTGGCCAGGGTAGGCTCAACTTCTTTGGATATTTCGTTGTGTGGCCACAAAGAAAGCACCAAGGACTCAGCACCGAGAGTTGTGGCACCAGAGTCTTCAGCAGAAGACAACGATTATGGATTAATCCCCTTGTATAGTGTTAATACCCCCCCCCCTTGTGTAACCGTTTTATATATTATTTATTGGTGACGGACATTATATTATATTAAGTTTTTGCCTTTATTTCCCTTCCCCTTTAAGTTACTTGCGTCACGGATCTCATCCCTTGATAGCCACTACTGGCTTGGGAACGGATACATATATCTTCCTCTAACAACATCAGAGTAAGGACCCCGTTGCGTCCCGAGAGGGCCGTAACAGTTGCTCCTGGAAGTATTGGTTCGAGTCACTTCTGGGGTGTGAGTTCGTATATATATACGATATATATATATATATATATATTTATATATATATATATATATATATATATATATATATATATATATATATATATATATATATATATATATATATATATATATATAATATACGAATCTTCTCAATAGTTCTTACGTTTTTCTTCACTGTCCAGGGTAATTGAAAAATTAACTCTCCAAAGTTCATTTTCACTTTTATATATATGGTCTGACACCTAGAAGCATTTCACAAGACTTCTCACATTTTTGGAGACTAATTTTTATTTAATCCTTTTCATGCTCCGTATTCCGTTTGGGTGAGGTGACAGGAAATAAATCAATGAAAAGACAGAACACGAGACAATGGGTATATACACGGTATATAACCATGGATATACATATTATCTGCTTGCGTATGTGCTGGTTCGGGGTCTTGAAGTGGGTAGAATGTAATTATGTGTAGTGCCTCGCTAATGTCGAGCCTCCTGTTATCGTTGTATCTGCCGATAATTTCTGTGTTGCTTATTAAGATTTGAGATTTTTCTTCACTGACGTGAGTAACGTTTCAGGCATGTACTAAATGTAACAGGTGTAACATATTACTTAAAAGTGAACAGTTAATTTGTGAATTTTTCTTGTGTAGGTTTGTGTGGCTGGAGGACTGTGGTCACACCATAGAGGCCGAAGGGCTGCTGGGGTGGCTCTCGCAGGAAGGAGGCGAGGTTGGCATGAAAATGTGTCCCCGTTACAAAGAACCTATATATAATAACCGTCGTTATTATGAATACTTACTGAAGGCATACAAAGATGTAGAAGCTGTCAAACGCCTCTACTACAAAAAGAAGAATCAAGTTCAAAAGGAGGAAATTTTGAAAGAGATTCAAGGTAAAGATAGTTTTTATTCTTTGTTGCAATTAATTTGAATTAAATTTGAAGAAGGAAAATATATTAATAAATTGCTGGAGTTTTTTTTTTGGTGTTAATAACATTGGTTAAATTATTTGTATAATTTGCAATACCTGAGCTTAACTGTGAGAAGCCAAGATGTGTTTGGCATGGAAAATGAGTGTTAAAAGAACAGTATTCATAGGTCTAAAGATTAAATAAAGGTATAAATAGGTTATTTGTTTTTGTTCAAGCTAAAAGGTGTGAATATCTATAACCACCATATAAGGGTTAAGCAAATATATGTTAAGCACAATACGTATATTGTTAAGTTTATAAAAGCCCAACCAAGAAATAAATGACATTGGCAATATTGTTGCTTGCTCGGTGAGTGAGACCATATAACCTAGCTACAGGTTCGTCTCTTCTGAATTATGGAGTGTTGCGGGGACACGCGGCAAGAGTCATGGTGTGTTGCGGGGACGGACGCTGCAAGAGTTATTGTGTGTTGCGGGGACGGACGCTGCAAGAGTGATGGTGTGTTCCGGAGACGGACGCTGCAAGAGTTATGGTGTGTTGCGGGGACGAACTCTGCATGAGTCATGATGTGTTGCAGGGACGGACACTGCAAGAGTCATGGTATGTTGTGGGGACGGACGCTGCAAGATTCACGGCGTGTTGCGGGGATGGACGCTGCAAGAATCCTGGTGTGTGTTGCAGGGACGGACGCTGGAAGAGTCATGGTGTATTGCAGGGAAGGACGCTACAAGAGTCATGTTGTGTTGGGGGGACGGACGCTGCAAGAGTCATAGCATGTTGCGGGGACGGACGCTGCAAGATTTATGGCGTGTTGCGGGGACTGACGCTGCAAATACATTTCTCCCACTACCTCTTCACTGGACATGGCAGCAGCCTCCTGGAATTGGGCGGCACAGTGCACCGTGTGTCCGTGTGGGTTGTACAACTCACCTTGACAGTAGGAGAAAGTAGACTGAAGAAACCCCTTTTTTTGCATTTTGAGCCAGACCAGGAATGGGAATGAGTATCTTGAATGGGGATTTGGGTATATTGGGGAATAATTTGGAATGGGAATAACGAGGAGAGTGGGAATGAGGAGGGAGTGGAAGTGGATTAGAACAGGAGGTGACCTCTCCTGTAAAGGTTCCCACCACTGAGTGTCCCAACCTCGAGGACCAGAAGTATAATTGCCTTGTGCTGGGTGTTGAGTGTATCTGTGTAGAGTCCTAGTTTTACTCATCTACATGTACTCGCGTATTTGTACTAGCCCATCGAGAGACCTATTCACCCCTAGGCCATCGAGAGACGTATTGCACTCCTAGGCCATCGACAGACCTATTGCATTTCTAGGCCATCGAGAGACCTATTGTACCCCTAGGCAACCGAGAGACCTATTGCACTCCTAGGCCATCGACATACCTATTGCATTTTAGGCCACCGAGAGACCTATTGCACCTCTAAGCCCTCGAGAGACCTATTGCACCCTTAGTCCATCGAGAGACCTATTGTACCCTAGGCCATCAACAGACATATTGCACTCCGAAGCCATCGAGAGACCTATTGCACCCTAGGCCATCGACAGACTTAGTGCACTCCGAGGCCATCGAGAGACGTATTGCACTTCCAGGCTATCGGCATAACTAATGCACACTTAGGCAATCGACAGACTTTTTGCAATCCGAGGCCATCAACAGACCTATTGCACTCCAAGGTCATTGGCAGACCTATTGCACTTCTAGGCCATCGAGAGACCTATTGCACCCTAGGCCATCGTGAGACCAATTGCACCCTAGGCCATCGAGAGACCTATTGCACTCCTAATCCTAAGCCATCGAGAAACCTATTGCACCCTATGCCATCGAGAGATCTATTACACTCCTAGGCCATCGAGAGACCTATTGAACCCTAGGCCATCGAGAGACCTATTGCACCCTAGGCCATCGAGAGACCAATTGCACCCAAGGCCATCGAGAGACCTATTGCACTCCTAATCCTAAGCCATCGAGAAACTTATTGCACCCTATGCCATCGAGAGATCTATTGCACCCTAGGCCATCGAGAGACCTATTGCACCCTAGGCCATCGAGAGACCTATTGCACCCATAAGCCATCGAGAGACCTAATACACCCTAGGCCATCGAGAGATCTATTGCACTCCTAGGCCATCGAGAGACCTATTGCTCCCTAGGCCATCGAGAGACCTATTACACCCCAACGTCACCGAGAGTCCTATTGAACCCCTAAGCCATCGAGTGACCTATTGACCCCTAGGCCCTCGAGAGACCTATTGACCCCTAGGCCATCGAGAGACGTATTGCACCCCTAAGCTATCGAGAGACCTATTGCACTCCTAGGCCATCGACAGGCCTATTGCACCCTAGGCCACCGAGAGACCTATTGAACCCCTAGGCCCACGAGAGACCTATTGCACCCCTAGGCCATCGAGAGACCTATTGCAAGCCAAGGCCATCGAGAGACCTATTGCACTCGTAAGCCATCGACAGACCTATTGCACCCTAGGCCACCGAGAGACCTATTGCACCCCTAGGCCCTCGAGAGACCTATTGCACCCTTAGGTTATCGAGTGACCTATTGCACCCCTAGGCCACCGAGAGACCTATTGCACTCCTAGGCCATCGACAGACCTATTGCACTCTACGCCATCGAGAGACCTATTGCACCCCTAGGCCATCGAGAGACCTAATACACCCTAGGCCATGGAGAGACCTATTGCACCTCTAGGCCATCGAGAGACCTAATACACCCTAGGCCATCAAGAGACCTATTGCATTCCTAGGCCATCGGCAGACCTATTGCAACCTAGGCCATCGAGAGACCTATTGCACCCCTAGGCCACCGAGAGACCTATTGAACCCCTAAGCCATCGAGAGACCTATTGACCCCTAGGCCATCGAGAGACCTATTGCATCCCAAGGCCATCGAGAGACCTATTGCATCCCAAGGCCATAGACAGACATATTGCACTCTTAGGCCATCGACAGACCTAATGCACTGCTAGGCCATCAAGTGACCTATTGCACTCCTAGGCTATCGACAGACCTATTGCACACCTAGGCAATCGACAGACCTATTGCACTCCTAGGCCATCGACCGGCCTATTACACTCTTAGGCCATCGACATACCTATTGCTCGCTAGGCCATCGAGAGACCAATTGCACCCTAAGCCATCGAGAGACCTATTGCACCCTATGCCATCGAGAGACCTATTGCACTCCTAGGCTATCTAGAGACCTATTACATCCTAGGCCATCGAGAGACCTATTGCACTCCTAGGCCATCGACAGATCTATTGCACTCCAAGGCCATCGAGAGACCTATTGCTCCCTAGGCCATCGAGAGACCTATTACACTCCTAGGCCATCGAGAGACCTATTGCACCCTAGGCCATCGAGAGACCTCTTGCAATCCTAGGACATCGAGAGACCTATTGCACCCAAGGCCATCGAGAGACCTATTACACTCCTAGGCCATCGAGAGACGTATTGCACACTAGGCCATAGGAAGACCTATTGCTCCCTAGGACATCGACAGACCTATTGCACCCCTAAGCCATCGAGAGACCTAATACACCCTTGGCCATCGAGAGACCAATTGCACTCCTAGGCCATCGACAGACCTATTGCACCCTAGGCCATCGAGAGACCTATTGCACCCGTACGCCACCGAGAGTCCTATTGAACCCCTAAGACACCGAGAGAACTATTGACCACTAGCCCATCGAGAGACCTATTCACCCCTAGGCCATCGAGAGATCTATTGCACACCAAACCCATCGAGAGACCTATTGCACTCGTAGGCCATCGACAGACCTATTGCATCCTAGGCCACCGAGAGACCTATTGTGCCCCTAGGCCTTCGAGAGACCTATTGCACCCTAGGCCATCGAGTGACCTATTGTACCCTAGACCATCGAGAGACCTATTGCACCCCTAGGCCATCGACAGACTTCTTACACCCTAGGCCATCGAGAGAACTAATACACCCTAAGCCATCAAGAGACCTATTGCACTCCTAGGACATCGACAGACCTATTGCACCCAAGGCCATCGACAGACCTATTGCACCCAAGGCCATCGAGAGAACTATTGCACCCCTAAGCCATCGAGAGAACTATTGACCTCTAGCCCATCGAGAGACCTATTCACCCCTAGGCCATCGAGAGACCTATTGCACTCCTAAGCCATCGACATACCTATTGCACCTTAGGCCCTCGAGAGACCTATTGCACCCGTAGTCCAACGAGAGACCTACTGTACCCTTGGCCATTTACAGACATATTGCACTCAGAAGCGATCGAGAGACCTATTGCACTCCTAGGCTATCGAAAGACTTATTGCACTCCTAGACAATCAACAGACTTATTACACCCTAGGCCATCGAGAGACCTATTGCACCCCTAGGCCATCGACAGACTTATTACACCCTAGGCCATCGAGAGAACTAATACACCCTAAGCCATCGAGAGACCTATTGCACTCCCAGGCCACTGACAGACCTCTTGTACCCTAGGCCATCGAGAAAACTATTGCACTCCTAATCCTAAGTCATCGAGAAACCTATTGCACCCTATGCCATCGAGAGGAGCTATTGCACACCTAGGCCATCGATAGACCTATTGCACCTTATGCCATCGAGAGACCTATTTCACTCCAAGGCCATCGAGAGACTTATTACACCTTAGGCCATCGAAAGACCCACTGTTCTCCTAGGCCATCGATAGACCTATTGCACCCTAGGCCATCGAGAGAACCATTGCACTCCTAAGCAATCGAGAGACCTATTGCACCCTAGACCATCGAGGGACCAATTGCACTCCTAGGCCATCGAGTAACCTATTGAAGCCTAGGCCATCGATAGACCTATTGCACCATAGGCCATCGACAAACCTATTGCACTTCTAGACCATCGAGTGACCTATTGAAGCCTAGGCCATCGAGAGACCTATTGCACCCCTAGGTCATCGAAAGACTTATTACACCCTAGGCCATGGAGAGACCTATTGCACCTCTAGGCCATCGAGAGACCTAATACACCCTAGGTCAACAAGAGACCCATTGCAATCCTAGGCCATCGACAAACCTATTGCACAGCTAGGCCATCGAGTGACCTATTGCACCCCTAAGCTATCGAGAGACCTATTGACCCCTAGGCCATCGAGTCCTATTGCATCCCAAGGCATTCGAGAGACCTATTGCACCCTAGTCCATCGACAGACATATTGCACTCCTAGGCCATCGACAAACCTATTGCACAGCTTGGCCATCGAGTGACCTATTGCATTCCTAGGCTATCGACAGACCTATTGCACTCCTAGGCAATCGACAGACCTATTGCACTCCTAAGCCATCGAGAGACCTATTGCACCCTAGGCCATCGAGAGACCTATTGCACTCCTAAGCCATCGAGAGACCTATTGCACTCCTTGGCTATTTAGTGACCTATTCCACCCCTAGGCCATCGAGAGACCTATTGCACTCTTAGGCCATCGACAGACCTATTGTACTCCTAGGCCATCGAGAGACCTATCGCACCCTAGGCCATCGAGAGGCCTATTACACTCCTAGCCCATCGAGAGACCTATTGCACCCTAGGCCATCAAGAGACCTATTGCACTTCTAGGCCATCGAGAGACCTATTGCACCCTAGACCATTGAGAGACCTATTGCACTCCTAGGCTATCGAGAGACCTATTGCACCCTAGGCCATCGACAGACTTATTTCACTCCTAGTCCTTCGAGTAACCTATTGCACTCCTAGGCTATCGAGAGACCAATTGCACCCTAGGCCATCGACAGACTTATTGCACTCCTAGGCCTTCGAGTAACCTATTGCACTCCTAGGCTATCGAGACACCTATTGCAATCCTAGGCCATCGACTGACTTTATGCACTCCGAGGCCATCGAGTGACCTATTGCACTCCTAGGCTATCGAGTGACCTATTGCATCCTAGGCTATCGAGAGACATATTGCCCTCTTAGGCCATCGACTGACTTTATGCACTCCGAGGCCATCGAGTGACCTATTGCACTCCAAGGCCATCGAGAGACCTATTGCACTCCTTGGCCATTGACAGACCTATAGCACTTTTAGGCTATCGACAGACATATTGCACTCCTAGGTAATCGAGAGACCTATTGCACTTCTAGGCCATCGAGTGACCTATTGCACCCTAGGCCATCGAGAGACCTATTGCACTCCTAGGCCATTGCCATACCTATTGCACTCATAGCCCATCGACAGACTTATTGCACTCCGAGGCCATCGACATACCTATTGCACCCTAGGCCATCGAGAGACCTATTGCACCCTAGGCCATATAGAGACCTATTGCACTCCTAGGCCACCGACATACCTATTGCACCCTAGGCCATCGAGAGACCTATTGCACTCCTTGGCCATCGACAGACCTACTGCACTCCTAGGCCATCGACAGACCTATTGCACTCCTAGGCAATCGAGAGACCTATTGCACCCTAGGCCATCTAGGGACCTATTGCACTCCTAGGCCATCGAGAGACCTATTGCACCATAGCCCATCGATAGACATATTGCACCATATGTCATCGACAGACCTATTGCACTCCTAGGCCATCGAGAGACCTATTGAACCCTAGGCCATCGACATACCTATTGCACCCTAGGCCATCGACAGACTTATTGCCCCCTAGGTCATCGACAGACCTATTGCACCCCTAGGATATCGACAGACCTATATTGCACCTTAGGCCATCGCCAGACCTATTGCACTCCTAGGCCATCGACAGACCTATTGTACCCTAGGCCATCGACAGACTTATTGCCCCCTAGGCCATCGACAGACCAATTGCACTCCTAGGCCATCGACAGACCTATTGTACCCTAGGTCATCGACAGACCTATTGCACTCCTAGGCCATTGAGAAACCTATTGTACCCAAGGCCATCGAGAGACCTATTGCACTCCAAGGCCATCGAGAGGCCTATTGCACTCCAAGGCCATCGAGAGGCCTATGGCCTTGGAGTGCAATAGGTCTCATGATGGCCTAGGGGCAATAGCTATTGCACCCTAGGCCATCATGAGACCTATTGCACTTCTAGGCCATCGACAGACCTATTGCACCCAATGGCATCCACAGACCTATTGCACTCCTAGGGCATCAACAGACCTATTGCACTCCTAGGTCATCGACAGACCTATTGCACTCCTAGGGCATCGACAGACCTATTGCACTCTTAGGCCATTGAGAGGCCTATTGCACCCTAGGCCATCATGAGACCTATTGCACTTCTAGGCCATCGACAGACCTATTGCACCCTAGGACATCGACAGACCTATTTGACCCTAGGCTATCGACAGACCTATTGAACCCTTGGCCATCGATAGATCTATTGCACCCTAGGCCATCGACTGATCTATTGGACCCTAGGCTATCGACAGACCTATTGCACCCCTAGGCCATCGATAGACCTATTGCATCCTAGGCCATCGACTGATCTATTGCACCCTAGGCCTATTGCACCCTAGGCCATCGAGAGACCTATTGCACCCTAAGCAATCGACAGATCTATTGCACCCTAGGCCATCGAGAGACCTATTGCACCCTAGGCTATCGAGAGACCTATTGCACTCCTAGGCCATCGACAGACCTATTGTACCCTAGGCCATCGACAGAACTATTGCCCCCTAGGCCATCGACAGACCAATTGCACTCCTAGGCCATCGACAGACCTATTGTACCCTAGGTCATCGACAGACCTATTGCACTCCTAGGCCATTGAGAAACCTATTGTACCCAAGGCCATCGAGAGACCTATTGCATTCCTAGGCCATCGACAGACCTATTGCACCCTAGGCCATCGACAGACCTATTGCACCCTAGGCCATCGACAGACCTATTGCACCCTAGGCAATCGATAGACTTATTGCATTCCTAGGCTATCGACAGACCTATTGCACTCCTATGCCATCAACAGACCTGTTGCACTCCGAGGCCAACGACAGACCTATTGCACCCCTAGGCCATCGAGAGACCTATTGCACCCTAGGCAATCGAGAGACCTATTGCTGTATGCCTTCCACAGGAGTTGACATCCCAGGTAAATTTTACTGTTAAGTGAACAATGGCATCAGGTGTGAGGAAAATTTCCTATTGAAAACAATATGTATGTTTGTTTTCTTGATGATTTAAATAATATTATAAACCCCACCGCATATTTACACTAAGTGCTCTATATATGTACACATAAGGGATACATGCATGTAGAAAATCTGTAGGAGTTTTGAAGGAGGACTCGAACCTACATGCTTGGTATTCCAAATTCAGATTTTCTCATTCATACATCACGCTAATGCGATTTCTTTGTAATTTGAATGTGACGCACGAGTGTGAACGCCAGTACCATAGGCAAGAGTGTGGTCGGGTCGACTGTAAAACCCTGGTTGGGCTCCAGTTGGTGCCCAGAACCTGCCAGTGAATTCAGCAGAGTTTCGGGTTGGTCGACATTTATAGAATCGTGGCAGAGTCGGTTAAGGCAGGTGTCTGCGAACCACCAGAATGCGAGTTCAATTCACTCAATTGTCTCAAAATTATTTTATTTAAGATTAAACAATACATATTGTTTGATTATGTTATCACGAAAACGGGCTGTAAAATCAATGAATGAATAATCCTCTCAGCCCTGAGAGGATTATTCATATTGAAAATTAATATTAAGTTGTATATAGTCAACTGTTTTAATGCATATTTTCCATCTTTCATTACAGATATTGAAATGGATTCAGAGATTACCATGGAATTGAAGATGTTAGAAACATCTGTTATTCAAAACTTTAGGCACCTTTGTGATTCTGAACTAAATCTTCTTCAATTCCAAGTTCAGGTCCTAAAAAAAGCAAACTCAGTGCTTAAACAAGATAATGAATATTCAAGATATATACTGGAAAAAGTCAAATTTGTTGTGCATCAAGTCTTCAGGCAGCAATTCCGCATTTCATCACAAAGAGTGGAAGAAGTTACTTGTGAACTTCAGCGCCTCTCAGTTTTGCCCGCCTTCTGGAAGCTGACTGAGAAATATGCTGGGTGTCGAAATGTGGCCTTAATGAATATATACAGAGAATTATCAGGGCTGCTGAGTACGACAGTTAAGTTTGACAAAAAAAGAGAAAGTGCAGCAAGAAACCTCTTGAAAGAGAGTCAAAAATTCGTTGGTGGACTTGGAATCAGCAATGAAGAGAGATTGGAGATACTCAGTGCTATGGGGTTCAAGCAAGGCCATTGGTACAAGTGTCCGAATGGTCACATATATTGCATATCTGAATGTGGAGGAGCTATGGTAGAGAGTAAATGTCCTGAATGTGATGCAACCATTGGCGGTGAAAGGCATCACCTTAGAGGTGACAATGCCGTTGCTTCAGAAATGGATGGTGCCCTTTACAGTGCATGGTCAGAACAAAATAACATGGCAAATTATGACGTTGCTGACTTTGTCTAATTTCTAGGATGAGTTATATAAATTTGTACTTTTAATATAAATGATTTGCTCTGAGGTATATTATATTTTATGATTTGGTGTTGTTTTCAGATAATGTAGCTAAACAGTTGTGAATGTTCTGTGTGGTAATGAGACGTGATAATGGCTATGGTAGATTTATAATACAATACCTGCGATGTTACTATGTGTCGGTCTCTCTGTTGTAATCTTTTCTAAGTGTATAACAAATGAATAGTATGAAACCTGCACTGTCACTCTATTTCCTTCTGTTTCAAGCGTATATCAGACAACACGTACAATATATAACAGGTAATTTTTATTCCAAAGGTCTGACAGATGTATGGCCTGCACTGCTAATCGTCATAACATAAAAGCTATTTTATCCACCACAGCTTGTTTAACAATATGGGTCACCCCATTTTCCTTGATGCACCGGACTAGTGACAGGTGATTCAGTGATTCTGTTTAGTAAGTTTTTTTGGGGCACCGATTGCAGCCCAAGGGTTATTATGTTACTAAATGATTAACACAGCAATCCAAACAACAAACATGTATATCAAGTGTATGTTGATTTTTTTATCATATAAAATATTTACTATATGAAAGTTACAAAAGTAATATATGAAGAGAGAATATTGTAGGAAATTTGGCTCTTGTGAAACAACACCAATTTATACTAAACCCTGCCCACTCACATTTGTGTGTTTATACTCAACCCCACCCAGTCACATATATGTTTATACTCAACCCCACCCACTTTGCAGGAGGATATATGTGTTTATACTTTGCTTGAAACAGTGGAGTGAACCAATGTATGTCGCTTGATACCTACAATTCTACTAAATTAATTTACATACCTATTTTTAAACCAGAATTTACATAATTCATATCAATATCTGAATTGATTCTATTACTGTATGTAAAATATTGCACAGATCCCATCTGCAGACTCTATCACCCCAATATCCGCCATTATAATTAATACACTGTCATCCAACTCTACACCTCATTGTGAAACAGTGGCATCTCAATACCGTGTTACTCTAAGCTTTCCTCGACATGGACCCGAAAATAAGCTGACTAACTTCTGAGTACCTACTTACTGCTAGGTGAACAGCAGAATTAGGTGAAAGGAAATGTGCCTAATCATTTCTGTCTCGCCCGGAATTCTCGATTGTGTGGCGAAAACCAACCCGACTGAACAAGCGGGACCCTCCTAAGTGAGTTAAGACGCTATATAATTAATACGCTACGTCTAGGTTAGAGTAAGAACTGAGGCAGCCAGTTCGAGGAATCAATGAGGTTGTTTCCACACCAGTAAGGCATCTTCTGCTTCAATACCTCACAAATATGGCGCACAAAGGGACTATGTGTCAAACATGATGGAATCTCTTCAGTAGACACTGCACAATTAGCATTAAGACGGCAAATACCGGCTTGTCAGATAATTCTCAGCTACTCAGGCAGTTATAAAATCAAGTAATAATAACTCTTTAGTTATTAAAGTCAACAAGTCTGAAGAGTAGTGTGCTTCAGGATTTAGCCAGGATGTCTAGTAATGTTGCCAATGTCTCTGTCAAAGAAGAATTCCAAGCAATCATAGGGGCTTAAATATGTAAGGAAAATTATATGTCTTGTTCACGATGACATGAGAGTTCTGGTAACGGATGTCACCTCAGTGGACCGTTGTGGTGAGACTCACTGAACTGTGTTTGTAGTCAATAGTGAATGTGTGGAGCAGAATCCTTATGACAGTGATGCTACTGCACTATAGTACGAAGGAGCACGGTCCCTAAATGTTAGATAATATCATAAAAATGTGTCTCATCCCGAATGAGGCACATTTGTATGGACAAGGAATACATAAGTAGGTAAGAACAATTCAGGCCAGTACGGTGGAGTAGTAGACAATTTATTTTAATTATTGTCTTGTTCATGGAAGGGGATTATTTTGTTATGGTAAACTTGCAGGTTCGTGTATGGTAGCTATTAGACAACCCGTTCTCGCACTTTCTTTAAGTCAATATTGACTTGTTAAATAAGTGCATTAGTGACATACTAATTTATTGTGAATATTTTAGTTTACCTTGAAAAGCTAAATAGAAAACACCGACCTTACCTATCCTTCTTAGTATGTTAAGATAAGCATCTTATTGCTTCGTAATTACAATTATTACTTAACCAATTATAGGTATAGGTTAAGTAATAATTGTAATTACGAAGCAGTAAGATGCTTATCTTAACATACTAAGAAGGTTAGGTAAGGTCGGTGTTTTCTATGAAGCTCTTCAAGGTAAACTAAAATATTCACAATAAATTAGTATGTCACATATGTACTTATTTAATAAGTCAATATTGACTAAAAGAAAGTGCGAGAACGGGTTGCAACGAGTTCACATCCATTCGAGGACCAGTTGATTGATGGTTCTACAGTTGGTTTGCAGGAGGTTAAATCGACAGGAAAGAAGTTTAATTGATTATATGGAGGATTAATCCAGTGGGATCATGGGACATCTTTATTTCTTTATATGAGTTCATTGTATCAGTATACTAGATGCAGTGAACAGAGGTGAGAGTGTTGACTCGTTTTTATTGATTTACCTGCCAAAGCCTGTTTGATGATGACTATGTAACCTAGGCCCAACAAGACTGATGAAGAGAGGAGTAGCCCAGTGAGGCACAATATGATGTACAGAGCATAATGAAGAATAACATTCATTGAAACAGTGATCTGTGACACTAACTTTGTACTATATTCTTAAGTATTACTTGAGTATTGATTTATAGTATTATATATGTTCCTGATGAATAGTGATTATAACAAGTTTATTGTACTGTTAACGAATTTGCATTGATACGATATATATATATATATATATATATATATATATATATATATATATATATATATATATATATATATATATATATATATATATATATATATATATATATATATATATATATATATATATATATATATATATATATATATACGTACTTGCCATAATATCCTAAGCTGTTGAGTAACTAAGTGTTGAAGAGACAAGTGAGTAAGTTACGTGCTACAAGTTGGTGTACCCGCCCAAGGCACCATATAATCATTATTGTTTACTTTGTAATAAATGTTTGTCTGTTAGACAACCTTGTTTGCTCTTGCTCCTATGAGTGTTCTAAATGCAAGAAAGATAGTTAATAATCACGACCTGTGGATCGGACAATAAAGAGAGAGAGAATATGGGGAACTTTAGTGGAAAACACCTGAGTTTATTGAGAGAAGGGTAAGTTCTCGGTAGCTCAGTATGAGGGTGTGAACATGAGACAACAGGAGGCTACTGAGCCCTGAGTTCCCATCTTGGTGATACTAAACTCCTTCTCCACATTTTTATGCAAACCTTGGAAGTTCCTTATTGGGTGGCTTGACATAGTGTAGTGTCAGTGGAAGTAGCAGCATGAGAGGGTGCTTCCTTGTGATATATTGGGATTCCTGCCCGGGATCTTTCCTTCTTCATTGTTACACGTTTGGTGAAAACTGGGGTGGGGGGCATGTGTCCGAGAGCAGAACTGTCACACCCACAGCCTGTGTCCTAGAGCAGAACTGTCACACCCACAGCCTGTGTCCTAGAGCAGAACTGTCACACCTACAACCTGTGTCCTAGAGCAGAACTGTCACATCCACAGCCTGTGTCCTAGAGCAGAACTGTCACACCCAAAGTCTGTGTCCTAGAGCAGAACTGTCACACACACAGTCTGTGTCCTAGAGCAGAACTGTCACACCCACAGCCTGTGTCCTAGAGCAGAAGTGTCACACCCACAGCCTGTGTCCTAGAGCAGAACTGTCACACCCACAGTCTGTGTCCTAGAGCAGAACTGTCACACACACAGTCTGTGTCCTAGAGCAGAACTGTCACACCTACAACCTGTGTCCTAGAGCAGAACTGTCACACCCACAGCCTGTGTCCTAGAGCAGAACTGTCACACCCACAGTCTGTGTCCTAGAGCAGAACTGTCACACACACAGTCTGTGTCCTAGAGCAGAACTGTCACACCCACAGTCTGTGTCCTAGAGCAGAACTGTCACATCCACAGCCTGTGTCCTAGAGCAGAACTGTCACACCCACAGTCTGTGTCCTAGAGCAGAACTGTCACACACACAGTCTGTGTCCTAGAGCAGAACTGTCACACCTACAACCTGTGTCCTAGAGCAGAACTGTCACACCCACAGTCTGTGTCCTAGAGCAGAACTGTCACACACACATTCTGTGTCCTAGAGCAGAACTGTCACACCTACAACCTGT